ATTGGATTGGATTGGATTGGATTGGACTGGATTGGATTGGATTGGATTGGATTGGATGATTAGACAGACAGACAGACAAAAGTACCTTTGTTATGAAGACGCTGGTGATACTCTCAGGATTATCTCCTTCGGGATTGGGGGGCCCCAGAAGCTGCTCCCCTTCCCCCTTTTCAAAGCTGTACAGGAAAGCCGGATTCAGAATGTACTGCAGAACCTATCCGCCAAGGGAAAGGAAAAGAATGTTTTTTAAAAAAATACTGCCCAGGTGTTACCCAGAAGGGAGTCAATGACCTACAATATTAGGAAGACAAAGCCGAAGTAGATCTCAAAAGGACATGAAGATCCGTCTTGAAATTCAATGTCCTTTGCAGGAAAGTTGCAGGCAAGCAAGCACGGGCAGCCGTATTGACGAAGAGGCATATTTGAAAAGGAGCCGGATCAATTCCTGACTTTTATTATTGTTTCTCTTCCGTGGGCATAGAATTCTGCCAGAAGGAGACCGGCCAATAACAGGTAGTCCTCAACTTACGACCGTAATTATTAAATTTGCAGATGACACGACAGTGGTGGGGCTCATTAATAAGAACAATGAGTCTGCTTATAGAAAGGAAGTACAAGGGCTGACACCAAAAAAACCTAAAGAACTTACAATTGACTTCAGGAGGAAGAGAGATGTACATTTACCATTGTACATAAATGGCGAGGAGGTGGAGAGGGTGAGTAGTTTTAAATTTCTGGGCATTTATTTCTCAGAGGACCTCTCATAGACTATGAATGTTGACACGCTTGTGAAGAAGGCACAGAAGAGGCTGTACTTCCTGAGAATGCTTAGGAAGATAAATCTATCTCAGCATCTCCTTCTGTCCTACTATTGCAACATCATTGATAGTGTCCTGACATACGGCATTCTAGCATGGTATGGGAGCAGCTCTGTAGCGGACAAAAATGCTCTACAGAGAATCATTAAAACTGCCCAGAATATCATCGGACTCCAGCTACCAGCCCTGGACGACATCTTCGAATCTCGCCGTTTGAGAAAGTTGCATAACATTCTCCGAGACTCTTCCCATCCTGCTCACAATCTTTTTGGACTGTTGCCTTCCGGCAGAAGATACAGAACAATTCAAACTCGGACCGCACGTCTTCTGGATAGTTTTTATCCCAGAGCTATAATTGCACTCAGCAATGAACTAAAGGGCCACCATCCGTGAGCTGTTGGGACAGCATGACTTGGTCTGTTGTATGGATGTTTGGGTGGATTAGGGGTGGGGAATTGTGGTGGGTGGGGGTGTGTTTGGGGATTGTTATGTGTGTGGGACCTGGTCTTTGGGTGTTATGTGAATTTTGTTGTATGGGTATACTGTGTATATACGTACAATGACAATAAACTTTATATAATTGTACCTTAGATTTTGGTTATCGAGCCAGACATTTGTGAAGTGACATTCTGTCCCATGTTTTAGGGCTTCCTTGCTACCGTTGTTAAGTGAATCACAGCAGATGTTACATTAGTAACAGTATACTCTGGCTTCCCCATTGACTTTGTTGGTCAAATAGGGGGATCATGTGACCCCGGGATGCTGTAACCGTCATAAATACGAGGCAGTTGCCAAAGTGTCTCAATTTTGATCAGGGGGATGCAAAGGTGAAAAACGGGGCTCAAGTATTGGTAGTAGCCTTGGTAGTACAGTGGTCTAAAGCACCCTGTTATTAAGACCAGCTGCCTGCAATTACTGCAGGTTCGAATCTCGCCAAGGCTCAAGGTTGACTCAGCCTTCCATCCTTTCAAAGGTAGGTGAAATGAGGACCCAGTTTGTGGGGGCAATAAGCTGACTTTGTATAAATATACAAAAAGGATGAAGGCTATTGCTTAGTGCATTGTAAGCCGCCCTGAGTCTCCGGAGAAGGGCGGCATATAAATCAAATTAAAAAAAAAAAGTATTGTTTTTTTCAGTACCATTGTAACTTCGAACAGTCACTAAATGAACTGTTGTAAGATGAGGACTACCTGTATAAACACTTAAAGGTGGGAACTCCTTGTTGCTGGGGAACAAGGGAGGCCAAGTTGGCGTTTGCTTTTACCTTGGCTTTCAGTTCATCGCCGAAACCGAGGTCGCTGAAGTCGACAAAGCGGAAAAACAGCGCCCTCTTTTGGGCGATGGTGTAATTTTTGGGGATGTCTTCCTCCATGTACTCCTTCAGGAAGGTCAGGTTGCAGAGGAAGCGGCCGGTGAAGGCCCGGAGGAGCTGGAAGAGCAGCTCGATGTCGTTGTAATTTCTCCTGAGGGATGGAAGAGGGAAAAGCCAGAGGTGAAAACACGTGGCGTATCCAAGGGTGGGAAAGGGGCCTGTCACGTTCCTGAGGGGAAAAGAGGAACTGGGGGAAAAGGGAGGGAGGGAGGGAGGGAGGGAGGGAGGGAGGGAGAAGGAAGGAAGGAAGGAAGGAAGGAAGGAAGGAAGGAAGGAAGGAAGGGAGGGAGGGAGGGAGGGAGGGAGGGAGAGAGCACGGGAGAGAGGGGGAGGGAGGCAGAAGAAAGGGAGTGGCAGGGAAGGAGGAGGGAGGGAGGGAGGAAGGAAAGAAGGAAGGAAGGAAGGAAGGAAGGAAGGAAGGAAGGAAGGAAGGAAGGAAGGGGGAAGGGAGGGCAGGGGAGAACACGGGAGGGAGGGGGACGGAGGGAGAGAGGGGCAGGGAGGGAGGGAGGAGGAAAGGAAGAGGGAGGGAGGGAGGAGGGAAGGAAGGAAGGAAGGATGGAGAGAGCGGGGTGAGGGAGGGAGGGAGGAAGGAAGAAGGAAGGGAGGATGAGGAGAGCAGGGTGAGGGAGGGAGGGCAGGAGGGAGGGAGAAGGAAGGAAGGGAAGGAAGGAAGGAAGGAAGGAAGGAAGGAAGGAAGGAAGGAAGGAAGGAGGGAGGGAGAAGGAAAGAAGTGGAAGGGAGGAAGGGAGGAAGGGAGGGGAGGGAGGGAGGGAGGGAGGGAGAAGGAAGGGAGGAGAGGAGAGAAGAGGAAAGGAGAGGGAGACGGGAAAGGGAGACAGGAGGGAAGGAAGGAAAGAAGGAAGAAGGGAGGGAGGGAGAAGGAAGGAAGTGGAAGGGAGACAGGAGGGGAGGGAAGGAAAGAAAAGAAGAAGGAGGGAAGAAAGGAAGGAAAGAAGAAAAGTTAAGGGAAGAGGACTCAACTTTACAGACAGGTTAAGATTTCTAGCCAAGAGAGGCTAGATAATAAATTGATAATAAATCGCTGGATAATAAATTGTAATAAATTGTCTATTTCTTTATCTGCTGGTTTGATTTTACAGCCTTTTTTTTCTTCCGGTGCCCAAAATAATATCCATTAGAATCTCACCCACCCCCTTTATTTTTTTTTATTCTATCTCCCTCACCCTCCCCATAAGACCACCTGGGCTGAGATACCCTTCCCTCCGGAGCTTCATCCCATTCCCCTTTTGAGTTCCCTACGAGAGCGAGCGACCTGCCCTCCGGACGGTTTATCTATCCCCAGAAAAGCCGGGCGCTCCGTTGAATAATCCCCCCCACAAAAGACTCACTTGCAATAATTCAGTAAGCAGTAGGCCAGAAGTTTCGGCTCCTTCCAGTTGGTGGCCGCCATGTTCTCCTTGCGGTGCCTCTCTTGGAAAGTGTCGCTGACCCACACTCGCCTCAGTTGGCTCACCAAGGAATGCTGGCTTGCCAGCCAGCCTTCGTCATTCTTCACGATGATACTGATGATCTGTTGAAGGGGAAAAAAAACAAGAACGTGGGAAGGTAAATTGCCTGACCGGCAGGCGATCCCTTAACGTCCATTTGATCTTCTCTCAGTGGTGGTTGACCGAGTCAGCATCTTGCGCCCCCAACTGACCTCGGAAGGATGGAAGGCTGAGGCCAACGGCAATAGCGCTTAGACTTATATACCGCTTCGCGGTGTGCTTTTACAGCCCCTCTCTAAGCGGTTTACAGAGTCGGCCTCTTGCCCCCAACGATCTGGGGGTCCTCATTTTATCCACCTCGGAAGGATGAGTCAAACTTGAGCCGGTCAGGATCGAACTCCTGGCAGTGGGCAGAGATAGCCTGCAATGCTACATTGTAACAACTGCACCACTATTGGCTTCCTTCCTTCCTTCCTTCCTTCCTTTCCTTTCCTTCCTTCCTTCCTTCCTTTCCTTCCTTCCCTCCCCTCCCTCCCCTCCTTCCTTCCTTCCTTCCTTCCTTTCCTTCCTTCCTTTTCCTTCCTTCCTTTCCTTCCTTCCTTCTTCCTTCCTTCCTTCCTTCCTTCCTTCCTTCCTTCCTTTTCTTCCTTCCTTCCTTTCCTTCCTTCCTTAGAAATAGCACTACTTCACAGCCCTCTCTAAGCTGATTACAGAGTCAGCCTCTTGCCCCCAACAATCTGGGTCCTCATTTTACCGACCTCAGAAGGATGGAAGGCTGAGTCAACCTTGAGCCGGTCAGGATCAAACTCCTGGCAGTGGGTAGAGTCAGCTTGAAATTCTGCATTCTAACCATTGTGCCCCCACACCTTCCTTCCTTCCTTCCTTCCTTCCTTCCTTCCTTCCTTCCTTCCTTCTTCCTTCTTCCTTCTTTCCTTCCTTCCTTCCTTCCTTCCTTCCTTCCTTCCTTCCTTCCTAGTGTAGTGATTTGAATCCCACTACTGCTATTAAGCCCAAAAATCTGGGTCCTCATTTTACCCACCTCAGAAGGATGGAAGGCTGAGTAACCTTGAGCCAGTCAGGATCAAACTCCTGGGCAGTGGGTAGAGTCAGCTTGAAATTCTGCATTCTAACCATTGTGCCACCACAGCTTCCTTCCTTCCTTCCTTCCTTCCTTCCTTCCTTCCTTCCTTCTTTCCTTTCCTTCCTTCCTTCCTTCCTTCTTTCCTAGTGTAGTGATTTGAATCCCACTACTGCTATTGAGCCCAAAAATCCGGGTCCTCATTTTACCCACCTCGGAAGGATGGAAGGCTGAGTCAACCTTGAGCCAATCAAGATCGAACTCCTGGCAGTGGGCAGTGAATTAAGGCTGCAATACTGCAGTCTAACCACTGCGCCACCACTGGGCTCTCTTAAATCCAGCTGGGTACCTTTTATTTAGCATCACGTGTTCAAAAGGGAATAACCGTACCTTGATGGCTTGAAACTGGAGATCGAGCCTCATGGTGCTGGTACTGGGGGAACCAGGCCGAACAGCTGTCTGGGTCCCGCCAGGTAAGAGTAAGGTGATGAAACGGTTGGGATTCGCCGCCAGGACGTCCCGCAAAGGCTTGGCGTCTTTGTGTTTTAAAAAACTCTGGGGTGGGGTGTTTTGTTTTTTTGGGAAAGTGGAGAAGAAGAAAAAAAGAAAAACGGCTTGGTGAGGAGAGCCATCTAACGTTTACGAAAGAAAGGGCCCAAGGCCTCCCATGCTAAACTGCATCTTAACAGGTTCGCGGTTAAGCCAGTTCTTACAGGCTGTACACCGCCCTGAGTCCTTCGGGAGAAGGGCGGTATAGAAATAAAATTATTTAATTTAATTTAATTTTTAATTTTACCATGAACATCCTGCTCCACTGAGGGTCATTCAAGGTAGCTTCCATCATGAAGAGCTCGACCGTCTGAGACGGATGGCGGGTCAGGAATTTTATCAATGGTTCTCGGAAGGGGCTGCCAGCCTGCAAAGTAGGTTACCAAGGGAAGAGGCTCGGTTAACACGTGAGCCTGCGGAAAGCATGGTTTTTAAGAGGAGGGTGGAAGGGAAGGAGGGAGGGAGGAAAAAGGACAGAGAGAAGAAAGGAGGATAGAGAGGAGGGAGGGAGGGAGGGAGGATAGAAGATAGAGAGAAGAAAGGAGGATAAAGACAAAGGAGGGAGGGAGGGAGGAAGGAAGGGCGAAGAAAGGATAGAGAGAAGGGAAGGAGGAAGGAAAAAGGATACAGGAGAAGGATAGAGAGAAGGGAGGGAGGGAAGGGAGGGACAAGTGTGATTGGACACACAAGGAATTTGTCTTGGTGCATAAACTCTCAATGTACATAAAAAGACAAGATACACTCGTCAAGAATCATAAAGTACAACACTTAATGATAGTCATAGAGAAACAGTCAATATAAATCGTAAGGACACAAGCAACAAGGTTACAGTCATATAGTCATAACTGGGAGGAGATGGGTAGTGGGAATGATGAGAAGGTGTTAATAGTAGTGCAGATTTAGTAAATAGTTTGACAGTGTTGAGGGAACTATTTGTTTAGCAGAGTGATGGCATTCGGGAAAAAACTGTCCTTGTGTCTAGTTGTTCTGGTGTGCAGTGCTCTATAATGTCATTTTGAGGGTAGGAGTTAAAACAATTTATGTCCAGGATGTGAGGGGTCTGTAAATATCTACAGCTGACCGTTGGTTGTGACTCTTCCCCGCAACCATTTCTTCTCCAGAATACTCTCTCTTACTTATAGTGCAGTGATGGCTAACCTTTTTCAGACCGAGTGCCCAAAGCACACTCCCAAACCCACAAAATGCAAGGCCCGTGTGTCCCCCATGCATGCACCTCCCTATGCATGTGTGTATGGCCCCTGCATGTACCCCACCCCTATGCATGCATGTGCCACCCCCTGCATGCGCCCCGCCCCTGCATATGTGCGTATGGCCCCCTCACATGCACCTCGCCCCCTCCCACATGCGAGGCAGAGGCCCGAAGAGCAGCTGGCCAGTGGGAAGCATGTGCACATGTGTGGCAGAGCTGAGCTGGGACGACAGCTCTGGCCCACACATGCCAGAGGTTCACCATCATGGTTATCAGCACTGTTTTCATCCAGTGAGATAGCCGCATCTCACAAATCTGACCCAATATCAAAGAGTTACATAGAACCGATCTGTTGTGATTCGCCAGCAGCCTGCGGAGCTGGCAGTGGAGTCAGACAGTGAGGAGGCTGGGGAGAAACATGGGCCAGTCCTGGAGTCAGGGGAAGGCCCGGGCGAGAGCTCTGTGTCAGAGGCAGAGATGGGGCCAGGGCCATCTGGAAGTGATGCACCGCCTCTGGAGCCTCCAGGGTCAGACAGCAGAGAGCAGAGGAACAGGAGGAGCCTGTTCCTAGTGCGTACATGCGCAGAGCTGCCAAAAGGCATGAACAGTTAAAACAAAAGGGATGACTCGGGAGTAAGGTCTGGAGATGATTGGCCCCTCCCATAAGACTTAAAAAAGGAGCAAAGGCACATGGGCACTTTGCAGGAAAGCAACGTTGTTAATTCTGTTCCCAGTCGGCATCTCTGTTTGATTCTGGACTCCATGTAGCTTTGCCAAGTAGGTCTTTGGCAGAGTGTCAAGGGAGATAAAGGCGGGTGATTATCCCGAAGGAATTCTCCCGAAGGACTTTTTTGCAATTAATCGGGACTCAGCTGTGAATGAACGTAATTCACAGCTGTTGCAATAAAGGAGGTTTTTGGGACTAAATTTTAAAAAAATTAAACATGTCCATTTTACCTCCGGGGGCTTTACAAGACGTGATGCCCCACGTAATGGTCTTGACCCCGCAGACTAAGGTTTTCACCAAGCTTCGGCAATCCGTGACTTGAAAAGTCTGCTTGTCCTCCTTCTCCTTTTCCCCTTGTTTCTCAAAAACCGGTCCTGACGCCGGGACCACCGGGGTGGAGGGCGCAGGGGAGGGCACCGTGACCGGAAGTGCGTTTCCTCCTGCCGGGGCACCCGTTAAAGCTGCTTCTCCTGCCCCAAGCTCTGACTGCGGTTTGCACTTTTTAAAGATAATGGAAAGCTGGTAGCGGGCGATGGTGTGGAATTTCAAGACAAACACCTAAGGAATCGGGAGGAGAAGAGGAGGGAGGGAGATCAGGAATAACGACGGCATTAAAGTATCGTAGATTGTTCTGCCCCAGCTACGGACCCCAAAGAACGCAGCACACACGAAGTCCGTTCAAACCTTAATTTACTGAATAAACCAGTCTTTTACAACAACGGCTGTTAATTAATTGCATTAACAGCCGCCAAGAATTCGAAGAATAATAACTGAAAAGCTTACTGTGGTTGGCAGAATGCCCAGAAGCAATTTGCAGGAAGCTGATAAGCAAGACAAGACACGAAGGTATGTGAACGAAGTTGTTCCCTACAAATTGCTTCAGTCGGCATTCCTCCTTAAATAGGCTTTTTCTTTTTCTTTCTTTCTTTCTTTCTCTCTCTCTCTCTCTCTCCCTTCCTTCCTTCCTTTCCTTCCTTCGCAATAGCAGACTTCTATACTGCTTCGTAGTGCTTTTACAGCCCTCTCTAAGCGGTTTACAGAGTCAGCCTCTTGCCCTCAACAATCTGGATCCTCATTTTACCCACCTCGGAAGGATGGAAGGCTGAGTCAACCTTGAGCTGGTCGGGATCGAACTCCTGACAGTGGGCAGAGATAACCTGCAATACTGCATTCTAACCACTGTGCCACCATGGCTTTCTCTTTCTTTCTTTCTTTCTTTCTTTCTTTCTTTCTTTCTTTCTTTCTTTCTTTCTTTCTTTCTTTTCTTTCTTTCCTTCCTTCCTTCCTTCCTTCCTTCCCTCCTTCCTTCCTTCGCAATAGCAGACTTGTATACTGCTTCACAGTGCTTTTAGAGCCCTCTCTAAGCAGTTTACAGAGTCAGCCTCTTGCCCCCCAACAATCTGGGTTCTCATTTTACCGACCTCGGGAAGGATGGAAGGCTGAGTCAACCTTGAGCCTGGTGAGATTCGATCTGCTGAACTGCAGCTAGCAGTCAGCTGAAGTAGCCTGCAGTGCTGCCCTCTAACCACCGCGCCACCTCGGCTCTTCCTACCTACAAGCCTTCCTACCTCCAACATCCTCATGAGGATATCTCTGCCGTTTCCATTTTCCTGCTCGCTCTTGGACCGAATGCAATCCACCAGGTTGAGCAGGAGTTTGCATGACATGGTCTGATGCTGCTGGGTAAAGATTCGTCATCGATATTCTTGGCAAAGAGCTGGACGGCCAGGGAGAGATCGTTGAGGGGTAAATGCTGCGGACGTGGTGGACCAGATCGGCCAGGGTGCTATACGCAAGGGGCCTGAAGGAGAAAAAAAAAAACATATTACAGGTGTTGTTGTTAGTTGCGAAGTCATGTCTGACCCATCACAACCCCATGGACAACGTTCCTCTAGGCCTTCCTGTCCTCTACCATCCTCTGGAGTCCGTTTAAGCTCATGCCAACTGCTTCAGTGACTCCATCCAGCCACCTCATTCTCTGCCGTCCCCTTCTTCTTTTGCCCTCCATCGTTCCCAGCATTAGGCTCTTCTCCAGGGAGTCCTTCCTTCTCATTAGGTGGCCAAAGTATTTGAGTTTCCTCTTCAGGATCTGTCCTTCTAAAGAGCGGTCAGGGTTGATCTCCTCTAGGACTGACCGGTTGGATGGCCTTGCAGTCCAAGGGACTCGCAGGAGTCTTCTCCAGCACCAGAGTTCAAAGGCCTCCATTCTTTGGCTCTCAGCCATCCTTATGGTCCAACTTTCACAGCCATCCATTGCAACTGGGAAAACCATCGCCTTGACTATACACACTTTGTTGGCAGGGTGATGTCTCTGCTTTTTAGAATGCTGTCTAGATTTGCCATAGCTTTCCTCCCCAGGAGCAAGCCTCTTTAATTTCTTGGCTGCAGTCCTCATCTGCGGTGATCTTGGAGCCCAGGAAAATAAAATCTGTCACTACCTCAATTTCTTCCTCATCTATTTGTCAGGAATTGAGAGGGCCATGATCTTAGTTTTCTTAATGCTGAATTTCAAGCCAACTTTTGCACTCTCCTCCTTCACCCGGATCAAGAGGCTCTTTAGTGCCTCTTCGCTTTCTGCCATTAGAGTGGTATTATTACTATATTAGAATGGTATGTGTTACAGGTAGTCCTTGACTTATGACTTCAATCGAGCCCCACATTTCTGTTGTTAAGCGAGATGTTGGTTGAGTTTTGCCCCATTTTACGAACGTGCGTCGCAATTTCCCTCCCCCTGCAGACACCTACAACTTTTAGAGAGGACCGCTCGATGCCTCCAGGTAAATAGCGTGCGTTACCCACCTGAGCGTTTCACGAGCCGTGTAGCCAGAGCCTATGAGTATGGATTCATCGAACAATTTGTCCATGCACGGGATAAACTCTGCAACGAAAGATTTGCAACAGAATGAGTGTCGTAAGGAAAGCAACAGGGTTTTTATTAAGATGCTTCAACTTAATTTAAGATGGCACAGGTAGTCCTGGACTTACAAAACAGTTCGTTTAGGGACCGTTCAAAGTCACGACGGGCTGAAAAAAGTGACTTAGGACGTACGTCTTTCACACTTTACGACCTTTGTAGGGATCGTGCCATCAAAATTCAGAGGCTTGGCAATTGGTTCATACTTATAGCAATAAGACCTATATGCCGCTTCAAGGTGCTTTCACAGCCCTCTCTAAGCAGTTTGCAGAGTCAGCCTCTTGCCCCTAACAATTTGGGTCCTCTTTTACCCACCTCGGAAGGACGAAGGCTAAGTCAACCTTGAGACTGGTGAGATTTAAACACCTGGCTGTGGGCATAGTCAGCCTGCAATACTTCACTTTAACCACTGTGGGGATGGATGGATGGATGGATGGAGGAGGGAGGGAGGAGGGAGGGAGGAGGAAGGAAGGAAGGAAGGAAGGAAGGAAGGAAGGAAGGAAGGAAGGAAGGAAGGCTAAGTCAACCTTGAGACTGGTGAGATTTAAACACCTGGCTGTGGGCATAGTCAGCCTTCAATACTTCACTTTAACCACTGTGGGGAGGGAGGGAGGGAGGGAGGGAGGGAGGAAGGAAAAGAAGGAGGAAGGGAGGGAGGAGGGAGAGAGGAAGGAAAGAAAAGAAGGGAGGAAGGAAGGGGAGGGAGGGAGGAAAGAAGGAAGGAAGGAAGGAAAGGAGGGAGGGAGAGAGGAAGGAAGGAGAGGGAGGGAGAGAGGAAGGAAAGAAAAGAAGGGAGGGAGGGAGGAGAGGGAGAGAGGAAGGAAAGAAGGGAGGGAGGAAGGAGGGAAGGAAGGCAATAGCACTTAAGACTTATATACCGCTTCACACTGCTTTTACAGCCCTCTCTAAGCGGTTTACAGAGTCAGCCTCTTGCCCCCAACAATCTGGGTCCTCATTTTATCCACCTCGGAAGGATGGAAGGCTGAGTCAACCTTGAGCCTGTTTGCGATTCAAACTGGCGACAGCCGGCAGTCAGCAGAAGTAGCCTGCAATACTGCATCTTAACCATTGCGCCACCACACCTCATGACCCCATTCATTGCTGTGTCCCATGGTCATGTGTGATCCTCTTTTGAGCGACAAAGTCAACGGGGAAGCCAGATTCGCGCCATTGCCGCCGCCACAGTACTCCCTTACCACCTGCGGCGATTCACTTCACAATTAGGGCAAGAAAGGACGTAAAACAGGGCCAAAGCTCAACTCAAAACAAACGTCTCATTTCACCAGAGAAACGTTGGGCTCAAGTGCTGTCGTAAGTCGAGGACTACGTGCGACCATCTAAATAGGGCCAATGTACGTACGGCTCCTCAGGTCAGTGGTAAGGATATGCTTGGCTGCGATGAGCAGTTCCTTCCTCAGGTGAGCCGTTTCCGCTGGACAGTTGGACAGCAGCTGCAACATTCCCTTCACCATCTGCTGGGAATATTTAGCTACCAACTCCTGGCAAGGTGAGAAAAAAATAAAATAAAATGCACCTCCATGTTATAGATGTGGCCTCCGTTGCTTACATCTCAATGAAGAGGAACTTATTTTTGGTGGGGGGGTTTACCAGAAACTTATAGTAAGGAGCAATATATATCTGATTATCCATGTAATAACTGCAGCTAGAATTGTATTTGCACAAAAATTGGCAAAGTGAAGAGATTCCTACGGATGAGAATGTGATTAGGAAAATAATTAGAATGTGCAGAAATGAATAGGATAACACTTGCAACTAAAGAGAAGGAACAAACTGAACGTTATATTTATATGGGAACTATTGTATCGATGGATAGAGAATAAAGGTGAAAGTTAGAAATAAAAGTAGATTAGAGAAATATAGAAAATATATCAATAGAATTATATACGTTAAGAAGAGGATTGTTACAGTATTAGATATGCTATGTATATCAGTATTAAGAATAGACAAATCATGAATACGGCTGTAAATTTTAATTGTTATTGCACAAGACATTTGTACCCAGGTGACACACTGTTTAATGGAAGATGGATTGTTTGTATTAAAATAAGATTAAAAAATTGTTGTTGTTTTTTAAAAAAAAGAGGAACTTAGAGGAAGTAAGACATTGGATGGGAAGTTCACCAGAGGGCCAGACTCACCTGATAAATCCTTATAATGTAAGCCAGAAACGACAATGTTTTAATCTGGGCAGCAATGAAGTCGGCGTACAATTCCTTATTGTAGTTTTTATTCTGCCTGAATTATGGAAGAAGGCGTATTTGATCAGAATGATTATTTTTTTTTTCAAAAGATTTTTTATTTTTATTTCTCATAAACACATTTACACGTACAATCATTTCCATCATTTTTCATTCATCTTTTCCTTTTAACTTTCATTTTTCATTTTTTACTTTTTGTCAAGTAAAAGGAGAAAGGGGAGAGGGGGGGTAAAAGGGGGAAAAAAGTGAGATATTATAAAAATGTAGGCAAATGATGAAATAAAATTAAATATTAATTGAGTAAGAAATTGAAATGAGAATAAAGATAATTAGAAAATCGGGGCTGCTCGAATACCACTTTAGATTGAACGGAAAAGGGAAACAACAGGAGAGAGGGGAAGGAGTAGAGAGAGAGGAAGGGAGAAGAGAGGAGAGGAGAAAGAAGAAAGGGAAAAGCAGAGGAAGAAAAGGGAGGGGAAAGAGGAGCAGGGGAGGAGGTTAGAAGGGGGAAAGAAGAGAGGATGGGGATAGAGAAAGGGAAGTAGGAAAGAGGAGGAGAGGAAGAAGGAAGGAAGTAGGAGAAAGAAGAAGGAAGAGAAGGGGAAGTTGGAGTAAAGGTAAAGGGTAAAAGATCACAACAATTATTAACTGGCTGAATAACTAACAGGAACTCTGAAATTGGATGGTGGAATGCTAAACTTTGTTCCTTTTTTTCTCTGTATGTCTGTTTACACAGTTTGGGATTTGTTAAAAGTTTTAATTCCTTATGCATACCTGGCTTGGTTGGACACCTGAATAATTATGGTATTCATGATCAAGGGCACAAATTCGGCTACCACGTTGTGAATATTCAGCTTGTAGAGCTAAGGGGAATAAAACAGGAAGAGGCGTGTTAGACGAGGACAAATAGCAACCGTTTATTTTTACTTTTCGTTTTGAGAAGGGTAGCAGTAACGTTCAGGTACGCACGAAATTACACCTACCTCTTAGCCTCGCCTCCGATGAGGGAAAGAAGAAAAAAGTAGCGGGACGTTATGGGAACTGAGACATGGGAGAACATCGTTTCATACAAACCTGATACATGAGGACGACGATTATGGGAAGTTCGGCTAAAACTTTCAAGGAAAGGGAGCCGCGAGGAATGACCGCGTGCTGGAAAAGGATAAAAAAAAAGAGGAATGGTCAATAGAATTCAAAGGACGTCAGACATAGTTTGTTTGTGGTTATGTAGGGATTCTAGGCTGATCCCTCTTTTAACTCCATCCTAGGTTCTCGTTTCTTCTCCTACACATCTCCTTCCAGAGATATTTTTGTTGGGCATTCTACCAGAAAAATACCATATTTTTCAGAGTATAAAACGCACCTTTTTTCCGCAAACACGCCTTCCGTCGTGCTCTGAAGACTCTATTGTTTAATCAAGCCGGCCTGACCGAATAAATTAATTTTAATTGGTTTTAAAGGGGTTTTAGCTAAGGGTTTTAATAACGGCCAAATTGCTTTAATTTATTTTAACGGTTTTTAATTTTTGTGATGGGTTTTGTTTTAATATGGCTGTACACCGCCCTGAGTCCTTCGGGAGAAGGGCGGTATAGAAATGTAATCAAATCAAATCAAACCAAATCAAATACTCCGAATGTAGTATAAGGAGGTTTCAGAGGCTGAAAAAAGCATCAGAAACGAAGCTTCAGAAAAGAAGCCCCCAAACAGAGCTTCAGAGGCTTTTTTTCTGAAACTGTTTCGGACGCTTTCAGAGGCAGAAAAGGAAGTTTTTTCTGAGTTTCAGAAGTTTCAGAGGCAGAAAAAAAAGTTTTTTCTGAGTTTCAGAAGTTTCAGAGGCAGAAAAAAAAAGCAAGGCACAGAGCTCACAACTGTTAAAAGTCACCTCTGGGAACAGCTGATTGGGGGTATTCCAGGAGGCCGATCCACCTGCCAATCAGCTTTTTTCTTATTTTCCTCCCCAAAAACTAAGGTGCGTCTTATACTCCGAAAAATACGGTATGATAAAAAGACTACATATCTGGTCTTGCATATACTAACTGCATCTAGAATTGTATTTGGAAAAATGATGAGATGCCGTCTTGAGGGGAATGTAATTAAGAAAATATTAGAATGTGCAGAAATGGATAGACTAATGTTTACTATAAAGGATAAAGAAGAAACAATATTTTTGGATATCGGACATATCTTATCAATGGCCAGGCAATAGAAACAGAAGTTAGAAAGGAGGAGATATAAAAGGAGGAAATGCTAAAGTGGAGAATTGTTAAAGAAGATGGTGTTAAGTATTATTATATTATCATATTATTTTATTATCAATATTATAGTGATGAATACCACAACAAATATGTGTATCGTGATTGTTTAAAAATAACTGTACCCAGACCTTACAATATTTGATGAAAATTGAATGTTAGATAAATAGAACAAATAAAACATTTTTTAAAAAAGGAAGGTTAGACTTAGTTCACTTTTGACTCCGCCCCCCCCAGGTTCTACCACTCCTTCTCCTACAAAGACGGGGTCTTGCACTCACCGATCTAGTTTCACTGTCATCTCTCTCCGGATTTACTTTCACTACAACCGTCGTGATCAAGCCCACCATTTCTGGGGTAGGGATGGTGTTCTCCGGGACAACTTGAGGATTCTCAAAGTACCGATTCTAAGGTTAAGAAACACAACCGAAGCATCACTCTAGCTGCCGATCGCAGGCTGCGATGCAAAAGTTAAAGAAGGAATTTAGGAAAACCAGCCAAACGGTAATTAAGCCTTAGCGATCCGGCGTTACTGGTTCAAGACCAAAAGGTTTTCCAATAAAACTTTCATGCAGTTTAGAAGAAAAACATAATCTCACAATCAGCTGGGCCAGAGTGCTGACTTCCCTCTCAGGGATCCAAGATCCTGACTGCTTTGCCCCAGCTACGGACCCCAAAGAATGCAGCACACACAAAGTCCGTACAAACCTTAGTTTGCTAAATTAATTCAATCTTTTTCAAACAAAGGCTGTTAATTAACTTTCTTAACAGCCTACAAGACTCCAAAGAATAAATAATCGTAATCTTACTAGGGTTGGCAGAAAGCCCAGAAGCAATTTGCAGGAAACTGATAAGAGAACTAAGATCAGGACGCGAAGGAGAGCGAACGAAGTTGTTCCCTGCAAATTGCCTCAATCGTCCGTCCTTAAATAGGCGAAGGGAGTGGCCAATTAGCCCCAAGCCTTACTCTCGAGGAGACCTCCTCCTGAGGAGCCACTCCTGCCTTTTGGCAGCTGTGCGTGCCCGTGCATCGAGAAGAGGCTCCTCCTCTTCGTTCTCTTCATTTAAAGGAGCTTCTAGAGGTTATGAAGGCCCTGGATGAATCCCCGCCTCTGGCACCACATCTTCTCCAGCCTCCTCATTGTCTGACTCGAGTGCCAGCTGCACAGGCTGCTGGCGCAGCGCCACACCAGCCTCCTCGCTGTCTGAATCAGCTACTAGCTGCACAGGCCGCTGACGGGCCACAACACCGACTGACACCAGTAGGAAAAACGCCCCACGCTTCAATGCTGGGTTTATGCAGCCAGACTCTGGCATGCACTGAGTTCATTCAGCAGCAAAAGTCAGCGCTGGGAGTGACCGCCTCCCAGCGCCCTTAAATAAGCAAGCCACGCCTCTACCCTGTGCGTGCCTCGCCCTGGTACTTGTCCTGCGCTCTGGCCCAGCTTATTGTTGGGCCTGAATAACTGCTCAGCGCGTTCTGCCCTTGGCCACACCTCCGCACCTTGCAGCTGATCTCCGCCGCTACCTTCGCCGTCACGAGACCACCGAGTCAAGCCGCGTGTCCGCGCTGTTCCTGCCACACTACAGCTGAGCCTCCCGTGTTGCTGCTGTAGTCGTTCCGCCCCCCCCCCCCCCCGTCACCGGTGCATTCCCGAAACCCCCCCGTGCTCCAGTGCTTTTTCCCACCCCATTGTGGCAAGTCCCGGGCCTCGCGGCTTGACACATAAACGTCATCGTTGTATTACCTACCACTACTTTTGGAAGCTCCTTGTAAATCTGTTTCACAAAATCCAAGAAATGATGAATCTGCAGAAAAAGGGGTAAGGTGTTATGAGAAATTTGATTTCAAAGTCTGAAACCGTTCTAGTCTTGGAAAAAGAAGTCCAACCGACTCCCAGGGTCTGCTGTTTGAGGAGACCACAACCAAAGACAAAGCATTGTGATTAACACCAACTGTCTGCAATTACTGCAGGTTCGAATCTCGCCAAGGCTCAAGGTTGACTCAGCCTTCCATCCTTTCTAAGGTAGGTAAATTGAGGACCCAGTTTGTGGGGGCAATAAGCTAACTTTGTATAAATATACAAAAGGATGAAGGCTATTGCTTAACGCATTGTAAGCCACCCTGAGTCTCCGGAGAAGGATGGCATATAAATCAAATTAAAAATAAAAATTAAAAAAAAGACCTATTGCCCATCCTACCTTAACATACTTCTCCCCCGAAGATTATTCATGGGAACCCCAAAATGTTTGTGAGCTTTGACTATGTCACACAACCGCAGGTCACTAAATTAAAAAAACTTATTATTTACCTCTTGTGTGATGGCTGGCCGGAACTGTTTGTGAAGCTCAATAATTATCCTCAAGCAAATAAGTACATTTTCTTCATTTTCGGTCTAAAAATGAGGGTGGGAGAGAGATGGAAAAGGGTTTATTATGTAGGAAAAATTAAAACCGCATACCGCCAATGGTTTTGAAAAAAAAATAAGGAGAGCAGAGTCAAACAGAATTACCTCTAGAAACCTAAACATCACAGATAAGATATTTTTGGTGTGTGGGCGCAGATGCTCGTTGGTTGGTATTCTATGGATTATTTCCAAAACTAATTTTCTCAGTTGCTGCAGAAGGGGAGAGAGAAAAAAATAATAGGGAACAGAACTTGGTTTTGAATGATAAACATGTTTATGTTAAGATAAAAGACCGAAATTAAACCCTAAAAGCTTATTACGTTAATTGAGGTTGTGCATGGCTGCAGATTTTAAATTCACGAAAAACCACGAAAGACGTCTCCGTGGTTATGTGGCCGGCATGACTAAACGCCAAAAGGCACACGGAACGCTGTTCCCTTCCCACCAAAGGTGGTCCCTATTTTTCTACTTGCATTTTTTAAGTGATTTCTAACTGCTAGGTTGGCAGAAGCTGGGACAAGTCATGGGAGCTCACCCCGTTACGCGGCATTAGGGATTCGAACCGCTGAACTGCCGACCTTTCAATTGACAAGCTCAGCGTCTCAGCCACTGAGCCATCGCGTCCCTTTGAAAAGACCCGAATTAAACCCCAAAAGCTTATCACGTTAATTGAGGCTGTGCATGGCTGCGGATTTTAAATTCATGAAAAATGTAAGCGAGGTTTTACATTAAAAAGAAGTAGATCGCATGTCAAAATGGACAGTAATGAAATCTAACTGTCCAGTTCTTTTTGACTAGTATCAAAAAAATTAGGCAAGCTTGTGTCCAGTGAAAGACCCCAGGAATTCTTGATAAAACTTGGAAGGTCAGAAAAAAGATCTCACAGAAGGTGCACTAAATTTGTTATGCTGCAACCAGTAAAGGTATACAAACTCTTATCAGAAGCAGGTGTGGTCTTTTCTCTGTAATTTCACCTTCTTTCTTCCAAGATTTAAAAAAGATGGTGGATATGTCTTTATCACAGGGATAACAGGAAAAGAATGTATCTTTTCTTTTATGTAAACCGAGAGCTTATGCACCAAGATAAATTCCTTATGTGTCCAATCACACTTGGCCAATAAAGAATTCTATTCTATTCTATTGAACAAAGAAGTATTCTGGAGAGTTACCTGTGCAGGTTTTTCTTGCAGGAACTGGACTTCCCCGTCTTGGAGAAACGTAAGGAAGCGAGGGATGATGTGTTCCAGGAATGTGGAATATTGAGGCGATGAGGTGACGTTCTAGGAAGAGAAAAATAAAAGACTTTTGGGGGGGTTTCCAACCACGCAGAGGGTATAAAATACTGTTTCTCAACCTCAACTTTAAGAGGGGCGGACTTCAACTCCCAGAATTCCCCAGCCAGCATCCGTTACGGGGAGTCCTCGACTTACGACAATGGAGCCCAGAATTTCTGTTGCTAGGCGAGACGGTCACGACAATTTTACCCCGTTTTACAACCTTCCTTGCCGCAGTTGTTAAGTGAATCACTGCAGTTGTTCAATTAGTAACACGGTTGTTAAGTGAATCTGGCTTCCCCCATGGACTTTTATTTATTTTATTTATTTGAATTTGTCAAACAAAAACAAGAACAAGAATAAGAGAATTATTTATTTATTTACTATTTAAATTTTTATACCGCCCTTCTCCCGAGGGACTCAGGGCGATGCACAGCCACAATAAAGCACTTATATCCATAAAGTTTAAAAACAGTTTAAAACAATATTAAATAATTTGGCCCTATATTAAAAACTAAAACACGCATTAAAATTCGTTATTTAAGCCAGCCCAGCCACTTGAAATAAAGAATAAAGACTTTGTTCGTCAGAAGGTCGTAAAAAACGGTTGTGTTAAGTCACTTTTTTCAATGCCGTTGTGACTTTTAAACGGTCACTAAATGAGCGGTCAAGGGCTACCTGTATTTCTTTCCGATCCTCAGGTGCTTTGGAGAAGAGGTTGACCCCCTCTTCTATGTGACAGCCCTATAAATATTGGGAGACTGTTATTATGTCACCCCTAGTCACATTTTATATCACATATCAAGAATGGTTGCAGGAACTGGGTATGTCTAGTTTGATGAAAAGAAGGACTAGGGGAGACATGATAATAGTGTTGAGGGGCTGCCCCAAAGAAGAGGGAGTCAAGCTATTCTCCAAAGCACCTGAAGGCAGGACAAGAAGCATTGGGTGGAAACTAATCAAGGAGAGAAGCAACTTAGAACTAAGGAGAAACTTCCTGACAATTAGAACAATTAACCAGTGGAACTACTTGCCTCCAGAAGTTGTGAATGCTCCAACACTGGAAGTTTTTAAGAAGAGGTTGGACAACTATTTGTCTGAATTGGTGTAGGGTTTCCTGCCTAAGGAGGGGGCTGGACTAGAAGACCTCCAAGGTCCCTTCCAACTCTGTTATTCTATTCTATATTCTAGTCGGGAGAACAGTCATCCAATATCTACCAGCAGCTTTCCAGGTCTCTAATAAAAAAAACTTTCTAACCACTCCAATCAACAATGGCCCCCTAAGAGCCTTGGTAGTACAATGGTCTAAAGCACCCCGTTATTAAGAACAGCTGCCTGCAATTACTGCAGGTTCGAATCTCGCCAAGGCTCAAGGTTGACTCAGCCTTCCATCCTTTCTAAGGTAGGTGAAATGAGGACCCAGTTTGTGGGGGCAATAAGCTGACTTTGTATAAATATACAAAAAGGATGAAGGCTATTGCTTAGCGCATTGTAAGCCGCCCTGAGTCTCCGGAGAAGGGCGGCATATAAATCAAATTAAATTAAAAACAAAAATAAAAAATGTCCAGCTCTGTCAAGCACTCCACTCTCAAACCAGGAACTATTACCTCAAAGTTCTCACTAACTTCTTGCATCATCTTCAGTTTCGTTTCATCGGCTGCAAAGCAAGAATGAAAGGCAGGCGTTGAAATATGTATTAACCTGTAGCAGGGAGGTGTTATTTGAACCCCCTGAAAGAAGCAATCAGATCTTATCAGTTTGGCTCTCACGACCCCCGTTTTATGCATCACATCTCAACATTTCCAGCCACACCTCTTCACATACACACACTCATCTCCACGCACTCACATCCATGTGATTTTTTTTTTTTTGGTGGGGGTTCAAGAGAAAGAAAGGTCATCATTTGCTTCTCCGTTACGTCTGCAAAGCAGGCCAGGAATGACACAGATGGGGTTTGCATCTTTACCGGTGCATTCAGCCCGCATCTCGGGTGCAAAATGTAATCCAGCCTCCAATTTGCACCAAAATTCTGGGTTTAAGAATTCACAGTTCTATAGGAATCCAAAGGAGGAGAACGTGCATTCTGGAGGATAATTCACAATTTGCCAAGTACGATTCGCGCCAGAGATTGTTCAAACGTCTGCGCCCAAAGGAAACCAGCGCCGGGAGAAAAAAAAACAACTTACGTGTGTTAGCATCGGTGAGAGCCGCCACAAACTGGAGATACTTTTTCATTAAGGTGGTCTGGTCGACCACAGTGGGTCCTTGGGTTGAAACGAACGCCATTTTTAAAAAAAAAATTCTGAAGGTTTAAGTGAATATTTAGGAGGAAACTGAAGGGCTCAAGCGATCAGCCAGCCTAAAAGAAGAGAGAAAGCAAAGCTATTTTAGCCTCATTACACGGATGCTGTGATGTTACAGGAGAGATTTATTTAGTTTTATCCACTTTTTTTTTTTTAATAACTCAAGGTAGCTCAAGAGGGACTGTCCAAAGTCACCCAGTTGGCTTTCATGCCTACGGCAGGACTAGAACTCACTGTCTCCTGGCAATTGGCACGAAGTCACCCAACTAGTTTTCATGCCTAATGTGGTACTAGAACTCCCCATCTCCTGGTGATAAGACTCAAAATTATCCAGTTGGCTTTCATGCTTAAGGGGACTAGAACTCACTGTCTCCTTGTGTGTTACCTAGCTGGCTTTCATGCCTATGGCAGAACTAGAACTCACCGTCTCCTGGCAATTGGCACAAAGTCACCCAACTAGCTTTCATGCCTAAGGTGGTACTAGAACTCTATCTCCTGGTGATAGACTCAAAATTATCCAGTTGGCTTTCATGTTTAAATGGACTGGAACTCACTGTCTCCTAGTGATTGGTCCAGTGTCACCAGCCAACTTTCATGCCTATGGTGGGAACTAGAACTCACTGTCTCCTGGCAATTGGCACAAAGTCACCGAACTAGATTTCATGCCTAAGGTGGTACTAGAACTCTCCATCTCCTGGTGATAGACTCAAAATTATCCAGTTGGCTTTCATGCTTAAGAGGACTGGAACTCACTGTCTCCTAGTGATTGGTCCAAAGTCACCCAGCCAGCTTTCATGCCTATGGTGGGACTAGAACTCCCCATCTCCTGGTGAAAGACTCAAAATTATCCAGTTGCCTTCATGCTTAAGAGGACTAGAACTCACTATCTCCTAGTGATTGGTCCAAAGTCACCTAGCTGGCTTTCATGCCTATGGCAGAACTAGAACTCACCGTCTCCTGGCAATTGGCACAAAGTCACCCAAAGCTTTCATGCCTAAGGTGGTACTAGAACTCTCCATCTCTGGTGATAGACTCAAAATTATCCAGTTGGCCTTCATGCTTAAGAGGACTAGAACTCACTGTCTCCTAGTGATTGGTCCAAAGTCACCTAGCCTCTTTCATGCCTATGGTGGGACTAGAACTCACCGTCTCCTGGCAATTGGCAACAAAGTCACCCAACTAGCTTTCATGCCTAAGGTGGTACTAGAACTCACTGTCTCCTGGTGATAAGACTCAAAATTTACCCAGTTGGCTTTCACACTTAAAGAGAACTAGAACTCAACTGTCTCCTGGTGATTGGCCTAAACTCACTCAGTCGGCTTTCAATGGGTGACTTCAGACCGGTCAGTCCCAGCCTCCCTTGCAGGGCTGTTGTTGCAGAGCCAAAAAGAAACGCTCCTTGCCCGGCCATCCATTGTTGCAAAAAAGGCAAGAGATCAATTCTAATGCATCTATGGGTAGATTAAAAAATCTGCCCCACAAACACACACACACACACACATACCAGGGCTGAATCTATCCTAACTCCCATGCTCCAAACACAAAGCAACAACTCCCATCATCCACAGCCGCCCCTGACTCCGGCTCTTTGGGGGGGAAAAAACCCCAAATCCCTCACCCCTTTCCATCACACGAAGGATTCTCCTCTCTCCATGAACGCCCAGCACGGCTGGGAACGATGGGAGAGGGAGTCCCCGAAAGCAGAGGGCGCCCGGTTGGAGAAGCAGCCCGGGTTCCATCCCGCTGGCAGAAGCCGGCTGTCAATCTCGCGCCGGCCACGCCTCCCCCCCGCGAAAGCCACGCCTCCCCCGCCACGCCCACTTTTGTGTGCTTCGCAAAGGGAGGGGGAAGCGTGGCTCCCTTCCATCCGTCCCCGCCCCTCCCTTCCCCGGCCAGGCTCCTCTCACCGGCTCCTCTCACCGGGCCGGGCCGCCTCATGCCCGCCTCGGCGGCTTCCCGAAGCAGCCCCGGAGAGCCGGCCGCCTCCCTGGCTCCGCCGCTTCACCTGCCCGCGTCGGAAGCCTTTGGCGGCGCCACTTCCGGTCCGTTCCTCCTCCCCCCCCCCCGCACCCCTAGAGCTAGGCAAGAGAGCAGAGGGGCCCTGCTGCCGTCATTTCCGCCTTCATCCCCCAAACGCCTTTAAAAAAACCTCAACCAAAGAATGAAATGCAGTTGGGAGGCGCCGAGAATAGGGGAGTGTAAAAATCAATCCAGAAATCCGGGAATGAAAAAGAAAGAGAGGGAGGGAGGGAGGGAGGGAAAGAAAAAGAAAGTGAAAGAAAGAGGGAAGAAAGAAAGAGGAGGGGGGAGAGAAAGAAATGGAAAGAAAGCAAAAGAAAGAAAGAGGAGGAGGGAGGGAGAGAAAGAAAAAGAAGAGGGAGGGAGAGAAAGAGGGAGGAAGAGAAAGAGAAATATAGCAAAAGTAAAAGGAGGGAGGGAGAGAGGAAAAGCAAAAGAAAGGAAAGAAAATAGAAAAAAGAGAGGAGGAGGGAGAAAAGTGGAAAGAAAGCAAAAGAAAGAAAGGAGGAGGAGGGAGGGAGAGAAAAAGGAGAAAAAGAAAGAAGGGAGGGAGGGAGAGAGAAAGTGAAAGAAAGGAGGGAGGGAGAGGGAGAGAAAGAGGGAGGGAGAGAGAAAGAAAGAGCAAAAGTAAAAGAAGGGAAGGAGAGAAAAAGAAAGCAAAAGAAAGAGGAGGGGAAGAGAAAGAAATGGAAAGAAAGGAGGGAAGGAGGGAGAGGAGGGAGGGAGAGAAAAAGAAAGAAAAAGAAAGAAGGGAGGGAGAGAAAGAAAGAGAGCAAAAGTAAAAGGAGGGAAGGAGAGAAAGAAAGAAAGTGAAAGAAGATAGCAAGGAAAGAAAGAAGAGAGACAAAAGAAAGAAATTGAAAGAAAGCAAAAGAAGGAAAGAGGAGGAGGGAGGGGGAGAGAGAGAAAGAAAGAAAGAAAGAAAGAAGCCATTGATCATCCTGAGTACAGCTGTGCATTGTGCATAGATTATGCTTTTTGCTACATACGTGAGGATTCATGCTTTGCTTTTACTGTGTGAAGGAGGCAGGAATTTTTGCCTTCTCTAACTTTTTCTATCTCTATACCTCGCCTTCTCTTCTGGGATTAGCCAATCAGCGCGCCGATCTCGCCTCTTCCCAACCAATCCCTGCAACCTTTCGCAGCACAATACAGAACTGAGCCTTGCAGACTTCTGGGGAGGGGAGGAGTGGGATGATTTCCAGACGTACAAGAACTACAGCTCCCATAATCCCCTATCAGTAGTTTTGGGCCTTTTTCTAGGGCTTTTTCGTGCTTTTTAGCTGTATTTGACTTTGCAAAGTGGGACCAGCGTTGCAAACATAAAACGTTCCCCTTAAAGTGGAAAAGTGCTAAACAATGGATGGAAACTGATCCAAGGAGAGATTCAACCTGGAAATGAGGAGGAATTTTCTGACGGTGAGAACAATCAACCCATGGAACAGAAGTTGCCTTCGGAAGTTGTGGGAGCTTCATCCCTGGAGGCTTTCGAGAAGAGACTGGACTGCCATCTGTCAGAAATGGTGTAGGGTCTCCTGCTTGGATGGGGGGTTGGACTAGATGACCTCTAAGGTCCCTTCCAACCAGGGGTGGAATCCAGCAGGTTCTGACAGGTTCTGGAGAACCGGTAGCGGAAATTTTGAGTAGTTCCGAGAACTGGCAAATGCCATCTCTGGCTGGCCCCAGAGTGGGGAGGGAATGGGGATTTTGCAGTATCCTTCCCCTGGAGTTAGGGTGGGAATGGAGATGTTGCAGTATTCTTCCCCTGCCACACCCACCAAGCCACGCCCACAGAACCGGTAGTAAAAAAAAATGTGGATTTCACCACTGCTTCCCACTCTGTTATTCTGTAAAGCAGTCGACTGTGCCATTATGCATCTGTAGGTCTTCTAAAATGCTACATTTTTTTTTTTCTCACTCAAGTCATCTCTTAATTAGTTGCTACAGTTTCTATTTGTTTCCCTTGATTGGGGAAAAAAACAAGGATTTTCCAACCCGCATTTGCCTTCTACTTGCAATTGCAGGGAATGTCATCTTTGTAGCAGTGATGAAATCCATTTATTTATTTATTTTACTATCGGTTCTGCGGGCGTGTGTTGGTGGGCGTGGTGTGGTTTGGTGGGCATGGAATGAGAAGGATGTTGCAAAATCCCCATTCCCACCCCACTGCAGGGGAAGGATATGCAAAATCCCCATTCCCACCCCACTGCAGGGGAAGGATACTGCAAAATCCCCATTCCCACCCCACTCCAGGGGAAAGATACTGCAAAATCCCCATTCCCACCCCACTCCAGGGGAAGGATACTGCAAAATCCCCATTCCCACCCCACTCCAGGGGAAAGATACTGCAAAATCCCCATTCCCACCCCACTCCAGGGGAAGGATACTGCAAAATCCCCATTCCCACCCCACTGCAGGGAAGGATACTGCAAAATCCCCATTCCCACCCCCACTCCAGGGGAAGGATACTGCAAAATCCCCATTCCCACCCCACTCTGGGGCCAGCCAGAGGTGGTATTTGCCGGTTCTCCGAACTGCTCAAAATTTCCGCTACCGGTTCGTCAGAACCTGCTGGATTTCACCCCTGCTTTATAGCTTTGTTCTTTCAACCAAGAAGTCAATCATGCTTGCATGGCTGGGTTTTTGGATGGGTTCGCACAATGAAGGCAAAACAAAGCAAATTCTATTTTGGATTTGTGTGAAGCAAACTCACTCCACTTTGTACAATAGGATAGTTTACACTGGCTTTTTTTTTTCTTTCAGGCTTGGCAACTTGGAAGATTGCATGGATTTTAACTCCCAGAATTCCCCAGCCTGCATGGAATTCCTATTTTTAAGGGTGTTCAAAATGTTATGAAATAAAAATTTGAAAGGATGTGTGTTCTAATTTTATTTACATACTGTGCTAAACCACATTTTGCAGTTATTTTTTGGTCAGGCTAGGATGCATTTATAACTTCGTAGGAAATACAGAAAGCAAAACAATGCAGGGAATTTTTTTAATCATCAAAATCAGCCTGAAAAACACCCTCGTAGTTCTATTAAAACTTTATGCATTAAAAAAATTAATAAAAATGACTCCCTGTCCGACAAAGAACACATTTTATTCCTAAAAAGGACACTTGGAACTCTTGCTGCATAAGGCCCTGAAGAATCTGCTATAAAATTTGTTTAGTACTTCTTTATATCTCGCCCACTCAGCTTTCATATTTACAATGGGACTAGAACTCACAGTCTCCTGGTGATTGACCAAAGTCATCCAGCTGGCTTTCATGCCTAAGGCGGGACTAGAACTCACCATCTTCTGGTGATTGGCCCAAAGTCAACCAGTCAGCTTTCATGCCTAAGGCGGGACTAGAACTCACCATCTCCTGGTGATTGGCCTGAAGTCAACCAGTCATCTTTCATATCTAAAGTGGGACTAGAACTCACTGTCTCCTGGTAATTGGGCCAAAGTCAACCAGTCAGTTTTCATGCCTAAGGCAGGACTAGAACTCACCATCTCCTGGTGATTGGCCCAAAGTCAACCAGTCAGCTTTCATATCTAAAGTGGGACTAGAACTCACCATCTTCTGGTGATTGGCCCAAAGTCAACCAGTCAGCTTTCATATCTAAAGTGGGACTAGAACTCACCATCTTCTGGTGATTGGCCCGAAGTCAACCAGTCAGCTTTCATGCCTAAGGCAGGACTAGAACTCACCATCTCCTGGTGATTGGCCCAAAGTCAACCAGTCAGCTTTCATGCTTAAGGCGGGACTAGAACTCACCATCTCCTGGTGACTGGCCCAAAGTCAACCAGTCAGCTTTCATATCTAAAGTGGGACTAGAACTCCCTGTCTCCTGGTGATTGGGCCAAAGTCACCCAGCCGGCTAGGGCAAAACTAGAACTCACTGCCTCCAAGCTTCTAACCCGGTGCCTTAACCAAATGGCTCCTTCTAAGGCAGCCTGGATGTGAGGAGGAAAAAATCCTGAGGAACATTTCACAAGAACTTTGTCTGCCTGGACAGAAGGACCTGGAAACGCAGAGGAGAAGCAGGCACCGTTCTCCGACTGCCAACAGAGGTCAGTCAGCAGCTACCGATGGTCTGTTTTGCTCCTCAAGGTAAGAGGAAAAGCAGAGCCAGCCCTACTGAACACGGTGAAATCCGACTCTCTCCGGCGCTGAGCAGACAGCAGAAAGAGATTTCCTTCCAAGGCCATCCACTCCTCCATGGCGCTGCCCTTTTCTGCCTTCCGTTTCGTCCAGGTGATTTGGGGGGTGCTGTTTCTGGTCACCAGAGCTGCAGGTAAGTCAGACCAACTCCTCTTTCTCAGGAGGCAGGAGAAGGAAGAAAAAACAAAACAAAACAGGACTGGCAATATTTCTGGAATGTCAACCGTTTGCTGCGATTCCATGATAAGAAGATGCCCTCCGCTTCCCGAGGCGAACGGATTAAAATGTCACAGCTGTGTTTTATTTTTACTTCGAGGGGTTCCCAGAATTCTCTTGCCTGTGGATGGGGGAAGGGGAAAAATGACTTTTAAGGCTCGCAGACCAAAGAGCTTGAAAAGAAGGGGTGCACAATATGAAGCTGTGGGGGATGCCTAAGGGATGTCCCCAAATATACTCTCTATTTGCACCACGATTAGGGAAAATAAATCAACACAGCGAAAGGATCCATCTCAGCACTGAGCCCACTCAGTAACATCCCTGCTGAATATTTTACCTTTGAAATATTATTCCAAAGTTCAATGTATTCTATAGTACCCCCCCCGCCCCCCGTCCGCCCGCCACTATCCCTGAGACAGTGGCTGTATCCGCACAACATACTAAAACTTTCAAGAAGAAACTGAACTGCCCTCTGTCAGAAATGGTGTAGTAGAGCCTCCTGCTTTTTGGGGTGGGGGAGGTTCGACTAGATGACCCACAAGGTCCCTTCCAACTCTGTTATTCTGTAATTCATTCTGCAAAGCCCTAATTAGCGGAATTACAGTTTAGACTAACATTGTTTGGCCGTCTGCTTTGTCCATGTTAAAGAAACCCCCGAAAACCGAGCCCGTTGCATCAATCGTGATTACTATTCGCTGTCTTTAAATAGTTTCCTGAATGTTACTTTTCATGCTTAGTTCATCACACAAATGTGTGAAACATTTCACTCCAAGGGGACAAGTATTTTGGTCTACTGGATGAGATTTAGATATACAACAGTTCCGTTCCTTTTTCCTACAGCTTATGTCTGATCAGCTACTTTTGGGAGTGGGGGTGGAGGGATATTCTGAAAAGGCTGGATTTGGCTAGATCCATGCTTTAAAACTTGATTTCTCCAACCAGGGTTTTGTTGGCCAAGCTGCGGTTAGTTGGCTTTGCACAAGAGCTAAGTTTTTAAAGTTAAAAATCAAGCCACAATGACTTTTTTTTTTTTAATTTGATTTATATGCCGCCCTTCTCCGGAGACTCAGGGCAGCTTACAGTGCGTTCAGCAATAGCCTTCATACTTTTGTATATTTATACAAAGTCAGCTTATTGCCCCCACAAACTGGGTCCTCATTTAACCTACCTTAGAAAGGATGGAAGGCTGAGTCAACCTTGAGCCTTGGAGAGATTCGAACCAGCAGTAAATTGCAGGCAGCTGTGTTAATAACAGGGTGCTTTAAACCACTGTAGTACCAAGGCTCTTCTTGACCGGAAACTAGGATTCTTGACCGGAAACTAGGATTGAAACAAGCCAGGGCTTAATTTGGCAAGTAAACCCTGACTTTGTTTAATGAAAAATGGGTCTGCCTTTTGTCAGGAAAGCAAGAAATGTCAAATGAAGGGAGCTTGCGAAGAAGGCACAGAAGAGGCTGTACTTCCTGAGAATGCTCAGGAAGATAAATCTATCTCAGCATCTCCTTCTGTCCTACTATCGCAGCGCCATTGAGAGTGTTCCGACATACAGCATTCTTGCATGGTATGGGAGCAGCTCTGTAGCGGATAAAAAAAGCTCTACAGAGAATCATTAAAACTGCCCAGAATATCATCGGACTCCAGCTACCAGCCCTGGATGACATCTTCGAATCTCGCTGTTTGAGAAAGTTGCATAACATTCTCAGAAACTCTTCCCATCCTGCTCACAATCTTTTTGGACTGTTGCCTTCTGGCAGAAGATACGGAACAATTAAAACTCGGACCGCACGTCTTCTGAATAGTTTTTATCCCAGAGCTGTAATTGCACTCAACAATGAACTAAAGGGCCACCATCAGTGAGCTGTTGGACAGCATTACTTGGTCTGTTGTGTGGATGTTTGGGTGGTTTAGGGGTGGAGAATTGTGGTGGGTGGGGGTGTGTTTGGGGATTGTTATGTGTGTTGGGCCTGGTCTTTGGGTGTTAAGTAAATTTCTTTGTATGGGTATACTGTGTATACACGTACAATTTATTTATTTATTATTTATTTATTGGTTCGATTTATATGCCGCCCTTCTCCGGAGACTCAGGGCGGCTTACAATGCGTTAAGCAATAGCCTTCATACTTTTGTATATACCTGCTTAGTAGGACTTTCGCCCCCCCCCCAAGCGGTGTTCTTTTTTATACAAAGTCAGCTTATTGCTGCCACAATCCGGGTCCTCATTTTACCTACTTCGAAAGGATGGAAGGCTGAGTCAACCTTGAGCCTGGTGAGATTGGAACTGGCAGTAATTGCAGGCAGCTGGTGCTACTTTAACAGCATTTAGTCAGCTGCGCCACCAAAGGCTCTGCACCACAATGACAATAAAGTTATTAATTAATTAAAAACAAACCCTGATAAATGCTATTTTTTTTTAAAAAAATGGATCAGGAACTTCAAAGCCATGATACAGGACTGAACTAATATAGAATGAAGTTGTAGCAAACGTTTAAAATAAAACCAGCATTCCCCTGGATCTCCTTGTCTATTAAACCTCTCTTAGGGTTTTACACTGCAAGCCTCTTATTTTAGCATGTTGGAAAATTGCCCCACCTATTTTCAGCTAACATGGGCAGAGGCAGTCCCAGGGCTGAAAGTTGCCAACCCCTGGCGTCTAAAATCATTCCTGCAATTTTTATGAAGGTTTGGATATTTTTCACCCAGTCTTTGGAGTTGAAGAGGGATGAAGACGTCGTGCCTCACCCGATGATTCATTTTGCCTTGATTTGACGTGGGTTTGGGAAGTGGGCGTTATGGTATTTTTAACAGATTAACAGAGTTGGAAGGGACCTTGTAGGTCATCTAGTCCAACCCCCCACCCAAGCGGGAGACCCTACACCATTTCTGACAGATGGCAGTCCAGTCTCTTCTTGAAAGCTTCCAGGGATGAAGCTCCCACAACTTCCAAAGGTAACATCTGTTCCATCAGTTGATTGTTCTCACTGTCAGAAAATTTCTTCTTATTTCTAGGTTGAATCTCTCCTTGTTCAGTTTCCATCCATTATTCCTTGTCTGGCCTTCGGGTGCCTTGGAAAACAGCTTGACCCCCTCCTCTCTGTGCCAGCTCCTCAAATATTGGAAGACTGCTATGATGTCTCCCCTGGTCCTTCTCTTCACTAGACTAGCCAGGCCCAGTTCCTGAAACCGTTCTTTGTAGGTTTTAGCCTCCAGTCCCCTCATCATCCTGGTTGCTCTTCTCTGCACTTTTTCTAGAGTCTCCACATCCTTTTTTACAGAATGACAGAGTTGGAAGGGACCTTGGAGGTCATCTAGTCCAACCCCCTCACTCAAACAAGAGACCCTACACCATTTCTGACCGATGGCAGTCCAGTCTCTTCTTGAAAACCTCCAGTGATGAAGCTCCCATAACTTCCGAAGGCAACTTCTGTTCCATGGGTTGATTCTTCTCACTGTCAGAAAATTCCTCTTTATTTCTAGGTTGAATCTCTCCTTGACCCCCTTCCTCCTCTCTGTGGCAGCCCCTCAAATACCGGAACTCTGCTCTCCTGTCTCCCCTGGTCCTTCTCTTCACTAGACTAGCCGTGCCCAGTTCCTGCAACCGTTCATCGTATGTTTTAGCCTCCAGTCCCCTCATCATCTTGGTTGCTCTTCTCTGCGCTTTTTCTAGAGTCTCAACTTCTTTTTTTATAATGTGGTGACCAAAACTGGATGCAGTACTCTAGGCGTGGTCAAACTAAGGCTTTATAGACTGGTATTATAGAGTGGTATGTGAGAATGACCTTGGGGGATGAAAGATGCCTAGGAAACCATGAGATAAGAGAGTGGGGAGCCCCCAGTGGCTTAACAGGCAGAGGGAAAAAACGTAGGAAGGACCCACCCTGTGGAACAGATGGTTAAAGAAGGCAGTGGGTGATTGGTACCTTCAGATTTGCAAGACTGACATCACCTTTCCAGGTACACCAGACAAAGAAAGAATGCTGACTCTACTTCATAGTAAGGTTCCATTAACAGAATCTGGCAATGTTCAATATCGTTGCAGAATGGAGACAAGAGGGGACAAGCATGGCGGATCCCAAGGAGGCTGTCCAGAAAATAGGACATATCATCACCGCATTGAAGTTGCTGGAGGAAGACCAAGCAAAGCGAGAAACTCAAGGCAAGATGCAGAGTTTGGAAATCTCGAGGGCTTTAGGAAAAAATATGAATATATATATATATATATATATATATATATATATATATATATATATATATATATATATATATATAAACATTCCCCTTACTCTAGTACTGATTATGTTATCCATTTGATAATGAAAGATCTGCAAGTAAACAACCAAGCTCAGAGAGCACCAAGGATCCCACAAATTCTTCCTCCTCCTCCTCCATCCTCCTCCTCCTGTCCTCCTCCTCCATCCTTGATGACTTACCAATAAGATCTTCAAGTAAACAACCAAGCTCAGAGAGCACCAAGGATCCCACAAACTCTTCTCTCCTCCTCCTCCTCCTCCTCTCCTCCTCCTCCTCCTCTCCTCCTCCCTCCCATCCACTCCCATCCAAACAGTATGTGTTAATGAAAAGGTACAAGTACAAAAGCTCAAGGCAAGGATCCACAAACTCTTCCTCCTCTTCCTCCATATATATATATATATATATATATATATATATATATATATATATAAACATTCCCCTTACTCTAGTACTGATTATGTTACCTCCATTTGAGTAATGAAAGATCTGCAAGTAAACAACCAAGCTCAGAGAGCACCAAGGATCCCACAAACTCTTCCTCCTCTTCCTCCTCCTCCTCCTCCTCCTCCTCCTTCTCCACAAACAACACTCCCATCTCAAACTGATGACGTTACCAAGTTGAGTAATGAAAGGTCTACAAGAAAGCAGTCAAGCTCAGAAAGCACCAAGGACCCCATAGTCCTCCTTCTTTTCCTCCCTCCCCCTTTTCCTCCTCCTCCTCCACAAACACCACTCCCATCTCACACTGATGATGTTACCAAGTTGGGTAACCAGATGTCTGCAAAAAAAACCCACCAAGCTCAGAGATCACCAAGGAAGGACCCCTCCTTTCAACCCCGAGCTACAGACATTCTCCTTTATCGATTCCCCTCCTCTAACTTCCTTCCCAGGGACTTCAGAAACAGCTCAGCTATAAAACATATAGAAGGCCAAGCGATGTTAATAAAAGCAGTAGAAACTAGAAGCTGGTTTAATAGCAACTTCTTAGGGGAAAAATATATAATCGGGAAATCCTCTCTCTCTGTTCTCTCAGAATAATTGTCTTTGTAGTCCTACCCTCACAGCCCCATTCTAATTCCCTCCCTACATGCTGCTATGTCCAATCAAATACCCTGTTTCCCCCAGAATAAGTCATCCCCTGATAATAAGCCCAATTGGGCTTTTGAGCGCATGGCAATAAGGCCAAGCACTTATTTCAAGGTTCAAAAAAATATAAGACAGGGTCTTATTTTCGGGGAAACACGGTACTTTGCTGCTGGATCCAATCACATGCTCCATCTCAAATGCATAACTATCTATTCCCATGATGGCAAACCTATCGCACGCGAGGTCCCACCGGAAGTTGGCAAACGGGCCGTTTCCAGCCTCCGGGGGAGTGGGGAAGGCCGTTTTCACCTTCCCCAGGTTCCTAGAGAGGCTCTGGAGCCTGGGGAGAGCAAAAAACAGGCCTTCCAGTTCCACTGGAAGTTGGCAAATGGGCCGTTTCCAGCCTCCGGAGGGCCTCCAGGGCGTGTGTGGGGAAGGCCGTTTTCGCACTGTCTAGGAGCCTGGGGAGAGCATAAAACAGGCCTACCGGGCCCACCGGGCATCACGTGCCAAAAGTGGGGGGAGGGTGCAGGGGGAGGGGCACATAGAATTATGGGTGTGGGCACATGCGTGCATGACCAACCCCTCCCCCATGGTCCCCACGCTTTTGGCACGTAATGGCAAAAAGGTCTATTCCATCCTCTCCCTTTTTAGTTAGGTTCGGTTGCCTCCAGTACCATATTAACACAGTTACGTTCCATTGGAATTGGGTACCAATCTTCAGCTGAGAAGGCCCTGCACCAAAGGAAAAGCAGGCCCAGAGGGCAAAGGAAAACACAACACCCTGCTGCTATTACTCAGTGGGTTGTTTAGATTGGGAAAAGTTTGAGTCGACCTTTGAGACTTCTCAGCTTAAGAAGTTAGGACAAAGACGGCAATTTCTTGCTTATCCGTTTCTTGTTATCTCTTCTTCTTTATCTCTCTCTCTCCCAGGTGCTGTAAAAAGCGTTAACATCACAGGCGCTACCGAAGCTCGCGTCATGGAAAACTTAAATTTATCTCTGCATATCCAAGGGAGGTAAGCAATAGGTGTTTTTTTAAAAAAAGAAATCCAAAATATTTTCCCCCAAGTTGTCCTCTTTCTTCTTAGAATCATAAAAATCATAGAACCATACAGTTGGGGATTTTTTTTTAATATAATTTATTTTTTAATTTAATAATTCCATCTTCAATTAAACAGTGTGTCGTCCGGGTACAAATATCTTTGTAAAATGATAATCGAGATTTACAACAATATTCATTACATTAACATTAAATCTACAATATTAAAATGATAATATTAAACGTAACAATCATAATACTTGCTTTCTCTCTCTTACCATATCTTCTTTATTCCACTGATCTTTCAGTTTGTTCTTTCTCCTTAATTGCTACCCTTAGTGTATTCATTTCTGCACATTCTAATATTTTCCTGATCACATTCTCGTCTGTGGGGATCTCTTCGCTTTTCCAATTTTGTGCAAATACAATTCTAGCTGCAATTAATATAAAGGTAAAGGTTCCCCTCGAACATATGCGCTAGTCGTTCCCGACTCTAGGGGGCGGTGCTCCTCTCCGTTTCAAAGCCAAAGAGCCAGCGCTGTCCAAAGACGTCTCCGTGGTCCTGTGGCCGGCCTGACTCAACGCCAAAGGCGCACAGAATGAACGCTGTTCCCTTCCCACCAAAGGTGGTCCCTATTTTTCTACTTGCATTTTTTACGTGCTTTCGAACTGCTAGGTTGGCAGAAGCTGGGACAAGTCACGGGAGCTCACCCCGTTATGCGGCACTAGGGATTCGAACTGCTGAACTGCCGACCTTTCGATCGACAAGCTCAGCGTCTTAGCCACTGATCTTCACGGGCACCAGAGCACCGGAAAATGGCCTTGAAATGGCCTGGAAAATGGCCCCAAACCAGGCTGGTTTTTGGGCCATTTTTCAGGTTGTTTTTCAGGCAGTTTTCAGGCCTTTTCCTGGGCTGTTTTCAGGTCGTTTTTCAGGCTGTTTTTGGCCAGAAAAATGTCCCCAGCTGCGCCAGCCAGCTGGTCTCCGGGTTTCTGGTACTCTGCCACATGCACATGCACGCACGTTCCGGTTTGGGCACTCGGTGCTGAAAAGGTTCGCCATCACTGCTCTAGAAAGAGTGCAGAGAAGAGCAACAAAGATGATTAGGGGACTTCAAAGACATATGAAGAACAGTTGCTGAAATTGTCTAGTTTAATGAAAACAAGGACTAGGGGAGACATGATAGCAAGTGTTCCAGTATCTCAGGGGCTGCCACAAAGAAGAGGGAGTCAAGCTATTCTCCAAAGCACCTGAGGGCAGGACAAGAAGCAATGGATGGAAACTAATCAAGGAGAGAAGCAACCTAGAACTAAGGAGAAATTTCCTGACACTGAGAGTAATTCATCAGTGGAACAACTTGCCTCCAGAAGTTGTGAATGCTCCAACACTGGAAGTTTTTAAGAAGGTGTTGGATAACCATTTGTCTGAAGTGGTGTAGGGTTTTCTGCCTAAGCAGGGGGTTGGACTAGAAGACCTCCAAGGTCCCTTCCAACTCTGTTATTCTATTCTATTCTGTCTTTGAATCGATGGATTCCCTCTTAGCTTAAGTGTCAGCAGAATCACACCTGTGGGCATTAATGCATAAGACAGAAGTTGAACTCACTGCTACCCTCCAGGAGCTGTTAATATTTGCAGTCCGACCCGTCCCTGAAAGGACACAGTTCATCTCTTCATTCGTTTGAGCAAAGGGCAGCTCGGTTCTTATTTCAAAACATTTCCAGCGCAGTCTTAAAAAAAATAAGGAAAAGCCAGTTGGTCTCCAGGCAAAACATCTTCAGCGAGAAATTTTGAGATGGGCATGTTGGAGCTGCCTTGCTCTTTCGTCAGGATTACAGGTAGCCCTCAAGTTACGACCACAACGGAGCCCCAGAATTTATGTTGCTACGTGAAATATTGGTTAAGCGAGTTTTCCCCGTTTTACGACTTTTCTTGCCAGAGTTGTTAAGTGAATCCTCGCAGTGGTTCAGTTAGTAACATGGTTGTTAAGGGAATCTGGCTTCCCCATGGACTTCGCTTGTCCAAAGGTTGAGAAAGGGGAAACACATGATCCCGTCATAAATAGTGAACCGTCGTAAATATGCAATCGTCATAAATATGAGCCCGTTGCCAAGCGTCTGAATTTGGATCAAGGGACTGTGGGGATGCTGCAACAGTCTTAAGTGTGAAAAACGGTCCTAAATCCCTTTTTTCAGTGCCGTTGTGACGTTCACTAAGGGAACTGTTGTAAACTGAGGATTACCTGTATTGCAAATATAAATCCAGTCGTTGGGATAAATTGAGCCAACTTTCTCAATGAGGACACTTCGCCCTGCCAATGTAGACTGTAGGTTGGACAGGTGAGGTCTTCCTAATTGAAGATCTGGGTATCAGGTGCAAGTAACTAGGAACAGGAGTTAAAAGTTGTCAGGATAGAAAGAGTTAATAGCTGTAAGCTGATGGGAAGCGGAAGGCAGCCGGAAACTGATGCAATAGAATGAGGCAGCGGAGTTACTCTCACTTTAAGAAGCTGGGTCAGAAGCTGCCTATATAAAGGAAGCCATTAGGGGGGGTTCCTTCTCCTCAAGCCGCCTCTTCATGCAATCTACTACTTGTTCTCTTAGTCTTGTGTATTATTGCTCCGTGTGTCAGTAGCTGTAAAGGTATTTAACCACGTATAAAGTATGTTGGTAAATATTTCACTGTCGATAAAAGTACTGTTATTTATTTAAAAGGCTCTGTGTACTGTTATAGCTCCTGGGCTTATCTCATATTACTAGTTACGCTGCCTAAACTCTGACAAAAGTTTATTCCAGGCTACCTACCGTATATTCAAGAATTTGATCTACTAATAGTCAAGGCAAACTGGCGTTAGATTAGGGGCAACGGAATTCATGGAAGGATGAGAAGCTCAACTTGGGTCTTTTGTGGCCGTGCAGTGATGCCAAACTGATGACTTGTTTAACCCCGCCACTCAGCCTGCTTATCTCCTACACTGGGGCCAGAAACTCTCCGCCCGATGCTGTAAAAGGTTGAGACCTTCTGAGGAAGATCTATGGGTCTTCATCAGGGGTGGGTTCTACTTACCCTTACTACCGGTTTGCCACGGGGCCGCGCACATGCGCAGAAGCTTCTGTGCATGGACAGGAGCATTCTGATGACGTCGGGGTCAGTGGGTGGAGCCTCCCGCCGGTTTTACTCCGAACCGGGGGCAACCCACCACTGGTCTCCATGTTGGGTCCCAGTTCTTATCATCCGAGCCGCCTGGCCGGTGGTTCAGGAATGAGGAGATTTTGGAGCTCCAGAGCCACTTGGAGAGGGCCGTCCATCCCGCTCTTCTGAGCATACAGGCGACCTCTCTGCTGTGATGGAAAGAATCCAGATTCCCAGAAAGGAAAGTGTGAATTCCAGAGGAGCAAAAGACAAGATAGTTTCAGAAATGATATTCAGCCGGTTCTGACCGGTTCGCCTAAACCGGTAGCGGGATATCACAGGTGGGTCCGCCTACCTACGCCCGGCTCTATGCCATCCTATTTAGTCACATTTTTGAGGCCGGGCGTAGGTGCAGAAGGCACGCATGCCAGCAAAGCACATGCACAGAAGGCCGGGCGCATGTGTGAACGGGGCGCGTCCGCTCACATTTGCAAACTGGTAGGGAAAGTAAGTGAATACCACCCCTGGATAGTTTGTGTATGAGAAAGTGGGTGAAGACAACTCCTCCTCAATAGTTCCCAGAGTCTATGCATTATGGGGATGGTAGCATGCTTTATTTTGGCAAGTTTCTGTCTGTAGGTGAGGAACGATAATGAAAAATCTGCTTGGAAGACTCACAACGTGTCTTTTTAAAAAATTATTATTATTTTGGGAGCCCAACACTGTTCTTCGTATTCATTTTCTTTTCAGTCCTCCGCTGAGTTTATGCTGGTTAATCAAGACGGAATGTATCCCACTCCACTGGGGAGACCAGTGCCACCTAGTGGTGATAAACAGCACGCAATACTATCTGAACCACACCTTCAACAATGCTGGACAATACTGCCTTAGCATCCGGGTGGAGAACAGGGTCAACATCTTGCAGTCCTACCAGGAGATTCAGATAAGACCCTCAGGTGAGGATGGATGGAACTATGGGGCTCTTTTGTCTATGGATCTTGATTCTTCTCCTTCCCACCTGGGATACGTATGGCTTGAAGCTGTGCTGGGATTCAAAAAAATTTACTACCGGTTCTATGGGCGTGGCTTAGTGGGCGTGGTGTGGCTTGGTGGGGCGTGGCTTGGTGGGCTTGGCAGGGGAAGGATACTGCAAAATCTCCATTCCATTCCCCACTCCTAGGGGAAGGATACTGTAAAATCTCCATTCCCTCCCCACTCCTAGGGGAAGGATACTGTAAAATCTCCATTCCCTCCCCACTCCTAGGGGAAGGATACTGTAAAATCTCCATTCCCTCCCCACTCCAGGGGAGGGATATTGCAAAATCTTCATCCCCACTCCACTCCTGGGGAAGGATACTGCAAAATCCCCAATCCTTCCCCACTCCAGGGGAGGGATACTACAAAATCTTCATTCCCACCCCACTCCATGAGAGGAATCCTGCAAAATCCTCATTCCCACCCCATTCCAGGGGAGGGATACTACAAAATCTCCATTCCCACCCCACTCCATGAGAGGAATACTGCAAAATCTTCATTCCCACCCCACTCCAGGGGAAGGATACTGCAAAATCTCCATTCCCACCCCACTCCAGGGGGAAGGATACTGCAAAAACTCCATTCCCACCCCACTCCAGGGGAAGGATACTGCAAAATCTCCATTCCCACCCCACTCCAGAGGAAGGATACTGCAGAATCTCCATTCCCACCCCACCCCACTAATCTGCTTTCCAGCTCCGTTCTCCTGTGCAGGGCAACAAAAGGAGGCCCAGCCGATCAGCTGGGACTCCAATCAGCTGGGACTCAGGAGGCAGCGAAAAGATGGGGGCGGGCTCAGCCAGAGGTGGTATTTGCCGGTTCTCCGAACTACTCAAAATTTCTGCTACCGGTTCGCCAGAATTAGTCAAAACCGGCTGAATACCACTCTGGTATTCAGATGTTAAGCCAGAATGGAAGTCCCAATGATTTAGATTTAGAAGCATCATGTGCTGCCATCTGGGGGTCAACATAAGTAATAACACTGTACTATAAAAATGGGGGGACGGGGGACGGCCAGACGACCCTTGATTTATAACCGTTCTTTTAGTGCCTCTTTGAAGTTACAACGGCACTGGAAAAAATAAATTATGACTAGCTGTCACATTTAATAACCCTCACAGCATCTCTCCCATGGTCACAAGGGAGGAGGACTCGGGGAAGCCAGACAAGAAAAGGGGAAGAAAACGGGAGATGGGAGATGTACATTTATAAATGATGGTTAGCGCAGTGGTTTCATTGGATACATCATATTGGCACAACTGGTGAAAGCCGACTCTGAAAGTTCCCATGGCTTCCACCTGATTAAAAGTAAAAGTTTCCCCTTTTCCCCCAAGTCATCAGTCACATTATCCAAATAATGGTGCTGGCCGGTTGCTTGGTTACTTTGCTCCTCCTCTCCCCAGCCACCTGTTGAAATGACCTTGGTTCCCACAAGAAAAACTTTTTGTTTTGACTACAAAAACCCAGCTATTCCCCCCCTCCCTGTCCCTTCTTCTTCCTTGTGGCAATCCTGAAGCCTCAGAGATGGCCCCCAGCCAGGTTCACTTCAGGTGAGACAGGTGAGAAAATGCAGTATTGCAGGCAAACTCTGCCCACAGCCAGGAGTTCGATCCTGACCGGCTCAAGGTTGACTCATCCTTCCATCCTTCCGAGGTCAGTAAAATGAGGATCCAAATTGTTGGGGGGCAATAGCTGACTCTGTAAACCACTTAGAGAGGGCTGGAAAGAACTGAAGTGGCATTTAAGTCAAAGAGCTGAGGTGGTGCAGTGGTTAGAGTGCAGTACTGCAGCTACTTCAGTTGACTGCTAGTTCAGCAGATCAGCGGATCAAATCTCACCGGCTCAAGGTTGACTCAGCCTTCCATCCTTCCGAGGTGGGTAAAATGAGGACCCAGATTGTTGGGGGGCAATATGCTATTTAGTATACTGTCTTTGGTGTAAGCCACCCAGAGTCCTCGGAGAGTGGGCGGCATAGAAATAAATTAAATTAAATTAAATTAAATTAAATTAAATTAAATTAAATTAAATTAAATTAAATTAAATTAAATTAAATTAAATTAAATTAAATTAAATAAAAAAATAAAATGAAATAATAAAATAAAATAAAATAAAATAATAAAATAAAATAAAATAAAATAAAATAAAATAATAAAAGAAAGAAAGAAAGAAAGAAAGTGCTATTGCTGTTGCTAAATATAACATTTTAAGGTATCCTTCTCTTGAACTTGGAAGCTCTCCTCGGCTATCATCGTCCTTGGAACTGAGAGGAATCTGGGCCACTGGTGAACGTTTGCAAGCTCAGCCTTGCCTCATAGAGGCCAACAGAAAGCTTCCGGTGCTCCCTCAAGGATTTTTTCCTTCTGTTCTTCAACAGGCATCCCTCCAGTTTTCTTCATCCTGCCCTGCGTCATCCTTTTGCTGGCTACGCTGGGTTTAGCCATCTACATGAGCTTTCGAAGCCCCGTGCAGCAGAAGGATCTGGTGGAGGTGAGCCATCTCTATTTTGCTAGACCTTAACTAGCAAATCTGGTAGCTTTGATCACTGGTTTGGATACCTCTTCCCAGGTGTTCCAAACCAAGATTTTAAGCTTGTTCATGTGCAAGGATGATCCCCTTCCCCAGTCCTCCCCAATGCTTTGTCTTCTCCCAGTCCTCCCAACCACCTCCAGTCTTCCCTGTTCCCCCATCCACCTCCAGTCCTGTCTTCTCCCAGTCCTTCTCCCAGTCCTCACACCCAATCTGCACCCTGTGCTGCCATCCACCTTTAGTCCTCCTTATCTGTTCCCAGGCCTCCTCCCAATCCTCTCCAGGCCTCCCACCCACCTCCAGGCCTCCCCAATGCTTTGTCTTCTCCCAGTCCTTCTCCCAGTCCTCCCCAGTCCATTCTGTCTCCTCCCAGTCCTCCCCAGTCTGCACCAGTGGTGGGTTCCTCCCGGTTCGGTCCGGTTCGGCCGAGCCGGTAGCGGTGACGATATGACGTCACCGAACCGGTGCCCTCCCACCCCCCCCACCCCCCACGTTATTCTTACCTTTTATTTGGTCCCACCCCCAATCTATTGCTCCCTCCTAAGTCCCAGCTGATGACTAGAGGGGAAAAAAACTGTTTAAACTCTTGCCGCGGAGCTTCAAAGGGCCGCCCTACAGCTGATCAGTGTTAAAAGCAAACAAATGAGTCGGGTCGTAAGTGCGAGGACCTTCCAGAAATGACTCTGACCAGCTAGCCATGCCCACCTAGTCACATGACCTCCAAGCCACACCCACAAAATAAGCCACGCCCACAGAACAGGTAGTAAAAAAATTTAGAACCCACCCCGGTCTTCTCCCAGTCCTTCTCCCAGTCCTCCCCAGTCCTTTCTGTCTCCTCCCAGTCCTCCCCAGTCTGCACCCTCTCCTCCCATCCATCTCCAGTCTTCCCCAATCCTCCCCAGTCCTCCCTGTTCCTTCCAATCTTTCACCAAGTCCTCCCAACTATTTCCTGTCCTCCCATCCACCTCCAATCTCCATGTTTCCTCCCAGTCCTCCCCAGTCCTCCTCCTCAGTTCTCTGACGCTCCCTTGAGAGTTCCTTGCTAATCCTCCATCAGCTGAGGTTCTCTCCGACCCAACCAAAATTTTGCCGTGTTGCTGAGTTGCAGGTCGCCGATTTTGACTTTTCCCCCACCTCCGCCAAGAAGCCATCCGGCGCCCGATGGAGCTGGGGCCAAATTTGCTGCAAAACCTGCTGCTTCCTTGGGTCGTCTCCAGAGACTTGCCATCCAGCCAAAGAGCACCATCGCCTCCTTCAGCCCCTCTGCAAACCCAGACAGCCGTACGGTGCCTGAAAGACAACCCCCCCCCCAAAAAAAATAACTTCTGGTGAGGGAGATCCAGCGAGTTCGCTTTGCCGCTCCTATTTGCTTCATGAATCATCGGTGACTTCGCCGACGTGGGTGAAGAAGCGTTCCTTAAATGACAGACTATCCTGAAAGAGAATAAGCTTCACGCCGTCACCGTCACCGTCACCCTGCCAAAAATCTGCCTTACAGCCCTTGGAAAGAAAAAAAAAAACGAAAAACAGAGGCTTCCGTTTTTCCGTCTTCTGCTCAGGACGCTTGAAAATGTCTTTGCCATTTCTCGCGGGAGAAATTTAGAACCCGTTGAACGGTGGGAGATGCCAATGCTGCTATTTTTTGATCACCGTATTTTTCGGAGTATAAGACGCACCTTTCTGTGTGTCTTATAGACCGAATACGGGAGTTTTGGCCTCCCGAACCCTCTGCGTGTCGCGTTTTCGCCCTCCCCGGCCCCCGGAACCACTCTGCAGGCCAAAAATGGGCGTGTTTTTGGTGAAAAGGGGCATGTTTTTGGCGAAAACGGACCATATGGAGCACTGCAGAGTGCTTCTGGGGGCCTGGAAGGACGAAAAATCCGATGTGTGGAGGCCAAAAACTATTTTTTTTTCTTGTTTTCCTCCTGTAAATTTAGGTGCGTCTTATAGGCCGAAAAATACCGTATTCTCCTCCCCATGCTGCAGGCTTCAATATCTGTACTTTCTAAACTTGAAAAGCTCCCCAGAAGCTTTTCAAAAAAACAAAGCTTTTTTGTTTGTTTGTTTGTTTGTTTGTTTTTTGCTAATATCTTCCCTTGGACCATGATCAAATCATGGGAAGACTCAAGAAATTGTAAGATATTAGAGATGCTATAATAAAAAAAAAGCAGGACATTCCTACTCAACCTTCAGCAAAAGCCTGATCAATGATGCTCCGTTATTAAATTTATTTTTAAAATGTCTCCAAATTATTCTCTGGGGACAGAGAAAAAAGCCTTAAGTGGTTTTTTTTTTTTTCCCTTCCTCAAATGAAGTGCAGTGGTAGCATTTTTGTTTTAAGTAGCAAATTTTTTTTAAAAAAAAATACAGTACATTTTTATCGTAGCAAAACAACAACTCACAAGTTCTAGCTCTGTTTACTCAAATATAATTCCTAACCAATTCAACAGCATTCATTCACCACCAAGCAGCCTAAACGACTTTAAAAATTTTTTACATTTAACAGATTAACAGAGTTGGAAGGGACCTTGGAGGTCATCTAGTCCAGCCCCCCGCCTAAGCAGGAGACCCTACACCATCTCTGACAGAGGGCAGTCCAGTCTCTTCTTGAAAGCTTCCAGGGATGAAGCTCCCACAACTTCCGAAGGCAACTTCTGTTCCATGGGTTCATGGTTCTCACCATCAGAAAATTTCTCCTTATATCCAGGTTGAATCTCTCCTTGATCAGTTTCCATCCATGATTCCTTCTCTGGCCTTCAGGTGCTTCGGAAAACAGCTTGACTCCCTCCTCTCTCAAGTATTGGAAGGCTGCTATCGTGTCTCCCCTAGTCCTTCTCTTCATCAAACTAGACATACCCAGTTCCTGCAACCGTTCTTCGTATGTTTTAGCCTCCAGTCCCCTAATCATCCTGGTTGCTCTTCTCTGCATTCTTTCTAGAGTCCCCACATCTTTTTTTATAGTGTGGTGACCAAAACTGGATGCAGGTCTCTACGTGTGGTCTTACTAAGGCTTTATAGAGTAGTATTGGTACCTCACTTGATCTTAATTGTATCCCTGTTTCTGGCCTCCAGAGGGCCTCCGGAGCCTGGGGAGGCCGTTTTCGCCCTCCCAGAAGCTCGAGGAAAACCTCCGGAGCCCGGGAAGGCAAAAACGCCTCCCCCACCGTGGTGCAGGAGACCGACTAGGCCACACCCACCATGGCCACGCCCACCCAGCAACCGGGCAGAGAACTTGGTAAAGATCTTGGTAAACTTGGTAAAATTTTTGAAGCCTATCCTTGATCATAACGATTGGTTTCCCATGTCGCAGAGACTCCGAGAAAGTGGCATTATAACTTCATAATTCCTTGTGTAAAGCACATAGTAAAGTGATCCAGTAAGAAAATAGCACCTCGGGTAGGTGACACCGAATACACAAATTCCAAATGCCGTATTTTGCCAAGCAAAGAGAAACATAAAAGGCATAAATAAGTAAAGTAAAATTTTGCCAGCAGAGGTCTCTCTCTCACCTAAGAACCTCTGAGCAGGATGTTGAATGAGAACCTGATTGGTTTTTTTTTAAAATAAATTTTTTTTTATTTTTTAAGACAAACATTTAGTACATCATTCATTTCTTCCATGTGACATTTTAGTCTTATCTTCAAAAGTTTCTTCTCTATCTCTTCTGTCTTCAATCTCACCAAGTCCATTACAAAGGTTTTCCATTAGTATAATATTCTAATTGCAACCAATTTTTTTTCTTCAATCTCTTTTGAAACTTATTTATATCCCTTTTTCTAACCAATAGTAAAATTTATTCCATATCTTAAAATATTCTGAATCTTCTCTCCTTTATCATCATAGTTAATCTATTCATTTCTGCACAGTCTAAATTTTTTTTTAATTACTTCTCCTTCTGATGGTATTTTCTCTGCTTTCCAATTTTGTGCATAAATAATCCTTCCTGCTGTTATTACATGTATAATCAAATATATATATTATCTTTACTAGTTTTCTCTGGTAAGATACCCAAGAGGAATAGTTTTGGTTTTAAATCTATACATTGTTGTATCATTTCCTCCACCCATCACTTAATTTTATTCCAATCGTTTTTTGCTTCAGGGCATGTCCACCACATGCGGTAATATGAATCTGGTAACGGGTGGCATTTCCAACATTTAGCTGATTTATCTTTAAACATTTTTGCCAGTTAATGAGAACCTGATCATTGTTCGCACTCTGGATACTTGTAAACAATCACAAATTAGTTTGCTCGCCTCCATCCTCTTCAGAAGATCTACCGTCTTTACAGATTATTTATATTTGAATTAAATTAATTTGCTGAAAATTAAAGAAAGGGTTGTCCAACCTTGGAATTTTATTTTTTTTTAAAATTTGATTTATATGCCGCCCTTCTCCAGAGACTCATTTGAAAACTTGTGGACTTCAGCTCCCTGAATTCCCCAGCAAAAAGATCACCCAACACCCGGGAGACATTGCAACCAGGAGTGGGCTTCAAAAATTTTAGCAAGGGGTTCTCTGCCCGGTTGCTGGGTGGGTGTGGCCATGGTAGGCGTGGCCTTCTCCACCATGGGGGGGGCATTTTTGCCCTTCCTGGGCTCCGGAGGCTTTCCTTGATCCTCTCGTAGCACGAAAACGGCCTCCCCAGGCTCCGGAGGCCCTCTGGAGGCTGGGAACGGGCCCATTTCTGGCCTTCCCAAACTTCCGGTAGGCCCGTTTTTCACCCTCCCTGAGCCCGTGCCCTGCGCTTACCTGCATCCAAAACAGGCCATGTGGGGACTCCTGGGAGGGGAGGGGAGGGGTGGGCAAGGCCAGCCAGGAGTGGGATTTGGGGGTTCTCCGAACTGCACAGAATCTTAGCTAGAGGTTCTCCCAAACCCCTGCGAACCCCCAGTAGATCACCCCTGATTGCAACCATCATAAATATGAGTTTTTTGTCAAGCATCCGAATATAAACCACGTGAGCATGGAGATGCTGCAATGGTCATAAGTCTGAAAAAACGGTCATCGGTTGCTTTTTCCAGGGCCGTTTTAACTTCGAACGGTCACCCAATGATCTGTCGTACGTACGTCGGGGACTATCTGTACTCGTGGCAATATCGGCACGCAACATCGGAAAGTTAAGTTTAAGTCAACCTTTGATTATTGGTTTTTTTTTTTCCCCTTTGTTTCTGCTTAACACACCACGTGTATTCATTGGGTTGGCAATTGGCTTATTGCGCAAAGAGAGAGTAAGTTGTGTCTTCTGAGCTAAGTTGTGTGAAGACAGCTAGTAGGTCAGGAGCATTGGGAGGAGGAAAATTCAGATGGTATGTACTATTCGCTCAAAGCCCCGGAGTGGAATTTGCTTCAAAAGAGGTCCCTGCTGAACGCTGAGCCACAGATGGGGGCGCCTGGATGCCCAAGGCTGAATGCCTCTCCCGCCTACTGTGTTCAAGAGAAGGAGGCATGGGGCATCTGAGCAGATTCCGAGAAAAGCCATGTTGAGAAAAGAAAGGGGGAGGGGGGAATGGAAATCGGGTTTTATCCACCGTGCATTTTGCGTGAGCTAGGAGGGAGGGAGGGAGAGAGAGAGAAGAGTGTGTGTGTACATGTGTGTTTGTATTCCTAGCCAACGGCAGGTCATGTCTCAGCAGGGAAATGCCAACATATAAATATTACTTAATAGAGAACCAAGTGACTCAGACAATGGAAAGGGCGGCTCTACAAATTTGATTAATAGATCGGTAAATTGAAAGAAGATCACACTGGCCATGGGGGGAATGGGAGGGGGGAGGAGGAGGAGGAGGAGGAGGAGGAGGAGGAGGAGGAGGAGGAGAAGAAGA